TCAAGGAATGTGAAGGTTGTGGACCGTCCAAATATCTTGATCATAATCGCACGGATCAAATCGTCTTGGTTGTAGCGGGACCCAGATAAGCCCGTGCGCATCCTCAGATTCCGAAAGGCGAAAGCCCCTATTTGCACCCTCTATTTATTTCTTTTCCGTGGTCAACACCTTTCAAAATTTTTCCTCTCTATTCACATCCTCCACTTTTCAAAACCCGTAAAAAACCCAATATTTTAACTTGCCGTTACGGAACCGTTAATAACCGTTAAAAATTGTAATAGGTGACATCAAACAGTAATATAATCGTTATGTCATCGTTATGTCATCTTATTACTCCAATGTAAACATTTTTTTTATGACATGGCATAATTAAATAATAATTTATTTTAATTTTTTCATTTTCCTCTTTCCCGACATCATCTGTATCATCTTCCTCTTCATCCTCCTGGGTTCCTCATGGAATTAGGAACCAAGACGTTATGTCAAATTTATAAATCCATGTGGATTTTTTTTTTTTATAATGCATTGTAATTAAATTATAATTAATTTTAATTTCTTCATTTTTTTTCATTCTTGGCATCATCTTCCCCATCCTCGTCCTTGTCCTCCTGAGCTCCTCACGGAACCCGGGTTCTGAGTTCCTCGTGCAACCAATTTCACATGAATACCTACTAAACTAAGATTTTCATCCACACAATTATAAGTAAATGAATACTGCACAAAAACAAATATGCATCTTCTACCCCTTTCCCACAAAAAATGAAAAAACCGTTATTGCCATTCATGTTAATCCTACTTGAACTCAAATTGGCAATTGGCAACCTGTTCAAAAACAATCTCCAAGCTCCAAGCAAAAAAACTCACCTTTCCAACAAAAAAATTATTCCAAATTGTTTTGCATAAAATAGAAAACTAAGATAAATATATTCAAAATAAAAAAAAATGGTCGGAAAACCCAGATCTGGGTTCCTTGTCGGAACCCAGAACTGGGTTCCATGCGCAGGAACCCAGAATTGGGTTCCTGCGAGGAACCCAGCCGCATCATAAACCAAAAAAAAATAAAAAAAAAGGTCCAGGTGATATATTTATATTGCTGTTTGGTACCACAAGTAATATAATTTTTTATTGATTTTACTGTACACGTGGCATCCACGTGTGCAAAAAATAAGCCACATCATCAACAAAAAGGATCTATATTGGATTACTACTGTCACGTAATGTCACGTTAATTTTTGGGTGCCACGTAATGCATTTTTTAACGGTTCCGTAACGGCAAGTTAAAATATTGGGTTTTTTACGGGTTTTGAAAAGTGGAGGGTGTGAATAGAGAAAAAAAATTTTAGAAGGTGTTGACCACGGAAAAAAAATAAATGGAGGGTGCAAATAGGGGCTTTAGTCGATTCCAAAACCGGAGAGAACGAAATGCTTACATATCGAATGACTAAAATACCCTCAAAAGCGTAACGAAGAACCAGGAATTCAAGAGCTCGTGTAAATTTACCAATTTACCATAGCATACGGAACCCGTAATCCAATGCATTCTGTTGGAAATGTTTTGTTTGAACGGTTTTCGCGAATTCATTGTTATTTTTATTTTTATTTTGCTCGGCGCAGTTTTCCCAATTCCTTTTCCCTCCAAATCTTTCCACCTATAAAACCACATCTTCTCCTCCATTTCTCAGACTATAGTCTCTCTCTCCAAACAGACTTCGACGAGGAAAGTTCTTCTTCAGGTGAGCTTCTCCACTCGGTTCGCGTTGAATTTCTCTTTTCTGGATCACTGTCGATTTATTTCTTGCTTAGATTTCCCGTTCAAGTGTTATCATTGTTGAATCAAAAGATTGCAAGTGTTTTCTGATCGAGCTTTCTTAGAGATTCTAGTGAGAAAGTGATTGTTATACTTGAAGAGCTGAATCTCTGGTTTTCGAGTTACTAATCTCGCGAAGAACTACTTTTTTTTTTCGTTTTTGATTGTTCTTGATTTGATTTCATGTTTGAGTGTTACGCATTGTTGAATCAGAATTGAAGTGTTCTAATCTCGCTTCTAATCTAACTTTTTCTCGAAATTTTGAGAATCAGATTGTTATACTATGAAAAATTGATTCTCTGCATCACGAAACAGATCTCGCGGAGACCAAATGCTATATTCGGATGAAGATTTTCGATTGCCTTCTTTAACTGTTTTCCTATTGTTTTGCTTGCTGATTGATTTCACGTCATAGATTTGGTTTTACTTTTAAGCATATTTTGCCATATCAATAACTGTTACTGTTTCATTCCTCTGCTATCTCTGTTTCGCGAAAACCGTTGTTTGTAGATCTGAAAATGCAACTCGTTTTCAAGCTCTTTTTGCTCCATCATATTTTTGTGATTCTTGTTCAGCAAGTAAAATCAGAGAAAATTAGAAGAGAAAATTATTAAATTTAGGATTAATCCACAAGCAATAATCAGAAAGGAAGTTCTGCTTGTATTCTCCAATTACTTGCATTATCATTTTACTGTTTGTCTAATTTTCATCTTCTCTGATTGCTATTCAGCTTAGTCGATCTGCAAATGCAAAGCGACAACTCCTCTAAGGCCTACGGTGACCATGACACTGACGGCCAGAACCGCCAAAACGATAATGTTTACCCGTCTCCCTCCTCCTCCCCATCCAACTCCATTTTTCCTATCTACAGCCCCCGCATCCTCATGCAACAGCACCAAGACATGATAAACCGCCATACCCTCTGCTTGACGCGTCTCCGCGAAGCTGCAAAAGAAGCCGAATCACTCCGTCAAGAGAACGCGGCACTCCGATCTGTCAATCGCGAGCTCAACAAGCAACTAAGCAGCATAATCCAAGCCTCTGTTCAAAGCCACTTCGCATCCTCCGATTACAACACAACGCCGCTTGAGGTGGTTAATGCATTTCGTGGACTTTGTATCGGTGGCTTTGGTGGTGGAGAAGAGGATGCCTCTGATGAAAGCCCAACGAGTGTGATGGAGAGTCCTGCCGTGGATGTGGAGAGGGTTCTGTTGCCAAAGAGCATCTCTGTGAGATCCAATGGATATTTGAAGATGATGACCCAGGGGAGCGAGAGTCATGGTGGTAAAACTCGGGGAGCAGCTCCGCCTGGGAAAGCCAGTCAACTCAGTGGAGCGGTATGTACTTATCATCAAATTTCTAATTTTTGAATGAACTACACCACTACTGGCCTGATCGTGCAATATTAGGTTCTAATTAAGTCCTGCGAGAGATGTGTTTGGGGATGGTTCACTTAAGCAATGAAATCTTAAAATTAAACAACTGAAATGGATGCTAATAACAACTACTGAATCTTTGGGTTGCTGATAGTTTCCACTATACATTTGTTGATTTTCTTCTAATAGAAAATGCTGATTGCTTTATGTCAATTCATGGGGTTAAACAATACAGCAAAAGGTGTACGTGCAAGGAGGGAAGAAGGAGGAAGAGCCACTTGAGCTGGAAGTGTACAACCAAGGCATGTACAAGACCGAACTCTGCAACAAATGGCAAGAGACTGGTGCTTGCCCATATGGTGACCACTGCCAATTTGCTCACGGTATTGAGCAGCTCCGTCCTGTCATCCGCCATCCTCGCTACAAGACCGAGGTTTGCAGAATGGTCCTTGCCGGTCAAGTCTGTCCCTATGGCCACAGATGCCACTTCCGTCATGCACTCACTGAACAGGAGAGGTTCATGGATCGCATGAAGCCCAGGGCCGTTAAACTTGACAGGTAAAATTACTGCTGCTGGTTATCATCACTGGCATGGGATGATACTTTTGGAAAATTTTAGATGTTCACTGAGACTGGTTAAGTAATATTCATTTTGTAAAAAGTATAGGTATACAATATTGGACTTGTAGAAAACGGGAATAATTAGCATAATAAAGCATAATAAACAAGTTAGGAAAGCTGGAGCTTTGGAGAGGCTTTGTGGCCCCCACGGGAGGGAGATTAAAGATTTGGTGAGGATACTCGCTTGGCTCTTTTTGATTGATTTCTTCTCCTTTTTGGTATGACATTTGCAGTGTAATGTACTCAAACTTGGATGTTCGGTGAACTTGGACCAAAACAACCCATATAAAA